TATTGAAGTATATAGAAATATATAGATATAGACTAGATAAATAATAGATAATAGTATTTTCATTAATTTATTTAAAATTGTGAGGTCACAATTTGTTGAAGGGGGAAAATATGTAATCAGCAGAAACCAAGCATAAATTAATGAAAACAAAAGTTGTAGGTAAAGCAGGAATTAGGAAATTAAAGAAATGGAACTAAGGAATTAGACAGTAATGCAGATCACTCCAGGTCATGAGTATAAACTGATTCCAATATAGGATACACAAGGATATAATTGGGAAATAAGGATATGATATATAGATGATGGATACTACTCCTATGCTATTATATAAGTATAAACTGGGTATATGATGTCACTTATTACATTATAGTTCTTGAATAGAATATTTTGTATTACCTTATTTCTGTATAAATAGGTGATCAATTTATTTTAATAAAATCAAGCTATGTTTTGAAGATGTATTCATTTTTGTTAATTACAACTAACCTTATTTGATTTATTAACTTTCATTTCATAAAGCATGATTTGATATGGCAACTCTTATGAGAAAATCAGGCGTTTCATTGTCATCAAGACCTAGGTCCACCTTTCTAAGTAAGAAATCTCTGATTACTGATATTTCACTCACTAATTCATTATCTAATTACACAATTAGTACATTGAAATATCTAATTATGTAACTACAAGTTAAATTAGTCATTTTTGATATGATGAAATACAATATATAATATCAGCTATATAGTTAAACTATTTTTAAGATCTGATTTGATATTTAATGTACTAATTTGATTTGATTTATGATTTCTCATCCAACCATTTTTTTCTTTATGATAAAAGGTCAAAGTTAACAACAAAATCATCAACAACAAATTCAAGATCAACAACAACCTTGATACGCAAGATTGTGAAGACTGTGGGCAGTTGTGAAAAAACTTACGGTAAAGTGTTTCTGCACTATTTCTTTGCTAGTTAACATATCAATAAATCTGTAGTCTTTAGATTACACATGCACTTTCTTTAAAGTCATATCAGTTATTGGATCAATAACAACCATTATATCCACAATAATTTACTTGATTACTAGATAAATGACGTATGTACAGTAACCTTAAACGGTGTCACCTGTTTCATGTAATAACATCTTTGACTTTTTTAGGAAATTAGAATGATGAATAAAAATATGGATTCAGGTACAATAATCTTAAAGAATGAATGGAGTTGTGATACACAAATATAAATGAAAGAATAGAGTTGGGATTCGGGTTGATTGCCAAAAAATTTGATCTTCTCTATAACAAGATTTCTGTTAAAGATAAAGAAATTGCCGTTATTAATAGAGAGATCACTGTCATCAATAGAAAGAATTCTGCTATTAAAGGTAACATTGGTGAAAAAATTCAAATGCTTAAAGTCAAGATAGACTTGTTCTACTTGACAAACAGTAAAAAAGAAGGTGGTGGAGTAATATGGAACAGAAATAGATTTCACCACTAAGCTATGTATTATATTTTTAAAATATTCATTATATTCTTGCTAGAATGCAAATTTAATTTTATCTAGCTAACAAGATAAGAGAATTATACTGCATGTGTTATTACTATTAATGTAAAGTAATATACTGTATGATAGGTTAAGTAAAAATGAAGAATCATTTGTATTAAAACATAATGTATTTAGCGGGCCTGGTATGAAATCTCGACAGGTACGAAATCCCGAACTCTAATGCTGGTCGAACACATCGCGTGACTCTGCATAATTCTGCATAACGCGGGCCATTTGTCGGGATTTCGTACCATTCGGGATTTTGGACCGTCGAGATTTTGTACGGATCCCCGCTTTACTAAATGTTATATAATGTAGATCTTTTCTTTTTTGTAATTTTTCTTATTTCCTAATAAAGTAATAAAATGACTTCGTTATAAAAAATAAATAAATTTTGTTGATTATTACTATCATAAGTCATTTGAAATATAATAAAAAGTTAACAAAATTCGCATATAAAAGTGGAAATTTGTGTTTTTTTTAATAATTAAGGTATCATACCATTTTTTCTTGGATTTTTTTTACATATACTGTATATATGATTTTTATAATACAAGGAGTTATTCCTTTGTCTAGTATTATGTAGTTTTCTCAAAATAACCGTTAATTAACAACCCTGCCAGATCGGCAATTAAAAATTCCTACATTTTCTGACCTAACAGTAATGAAAAGCAAGGTAAACTTGTATATCATTAGAATCCGAACCAAAAGATGTTGGCGTTAAAATAATCCTAATTTATTCATGTTAAAAAAATACAGTAATAATAGTATAATATGCAAGATGTACATACCATTGAAGCTCGTTCCCGTATTGATATGCATGCAAATTCCAAAATAAAGAAATTATTAATGCAAGAAACCTGTCAAATGTACGCATAAAACAAAGTAGAAATAAATAAAACATATTTTTGCATTAGCGGAATTTTTTAAAAGATATTCAAGACAAAAATATATAAATATATATATAATATATGTTGAAGAATTTTTTGAACTCGGATTATTAATCAAACTATCGAGAAGTTTGATAAATTTCGTTCGTTTTGCAAAGGACTAAAGGTTCCAGCTCACCAAGAAATATTCAAAAATGCTATTAAACAAAAAATGAGAAAACAAATTTTTAAATGTGAAAATGTATGGAAAATATAAAATTAGTTTATTTAAAAATTTATTTCAGTAACTTTTAAAATTAAAATTTTACCTTTTGCAGCAAATGTCATAACTCGGTACGTTCAGTAAACCCGGTAAAATTCAGAAACTACATATATCCCTGAGCACAGTGTTGTAATTTTTATTTCCCTTAACTGAAATTTAAGAGTTTTGAACATGAACAAAGTTAATTTTTGAACAGGTTTACTGCGGCAAAAATATGATCAACGTTAAACCATTATAAATTTTAAACAGTGTAAAATAGAAAGATGCTTCTTAAATGTACCTCATTTTTGTTGTTATTTGCTCTCTCAAAAATTTTATCGATTCAAACTTTATCAAATGAATATTTTTTTTTTTAAGCGAAACTGATTAGAAATTGTAAGGAGAAAAAATAAGTAAAACTGCAGTAACAGTATTTTAAAAATGGACAAAAAAAGTGGGAGTGGAAAATAATTTTTTTTTATTATTTTTGTTGTTAATATAAACGCCGAAAGTATATTTATTTATAGAATATTTATTATTTATTATTATTTACTTATTATTATTTACTTACAAAATATAATCTACAAGGGGCAGATCTAAACCTATATTTTTTAAGTTTTTAATTTAAAAAAAAAAAACCTTATAATTTTTGTTTATATGTAAATATGTGATATATACACTGAGTAATTATTTACTTACAAAATATAATCTACAAGGGGGGTAGATCTAAACCTATTTTTTTAAGTTTTTTAATTTTTAAAAAAAAAAACCTTATAATTTTTGTTTATTAGTTATATATAAATATACACTTTAGTTAATTATTTACTTACAAAATATAATCTACAAGGGGTAGATCTAAACCTATTTTTTTTTTGTTTTTAATTTAAAAAAAAAAAAAA